AACATGATTAAAGGAACTTCAGTAGACCTGCAAGAATCAATGTTAGTACACAACATTTTATATTGAGTCAATTCAATATTCAGCATGATATTCTCACTCTTGACTCTTTCAAGGGATTCTTTTAGCATAATATTTTTATCTAACAATTCAAAGAATCTGCCTTGAACATCATTTCTTAAGCTATTCAGATACTTAACATGATCTCTACAAATTCCAGTTGCCTTTTCGGCTTGCCTTAGTTTTGCACATAATTCTTTATATTCATCTAAGGTTTCTAACAATAAAGAGATTAATTTATCCTTTGAGAGAGATTTCAAATAACTAGGTTGAATGACTACCTCATCATCATGCTTTGCCATTAGACAGAGATTGGCTACTTCATCGTCTGTGTGTTCCTGTTCCTCTTCTTCGGAACTTGATTCTCCCCACGTGGAAATCATTGCTTTCCTGAAATTTGTTTTAGAAAAGTTAGGCTTGGAATTTCTGCTTTGATCAGCTTCTTTTCCCTTGCCTTTCTCAGATTCCCATAATGGACACTCTTTGATGAAGTGGTTGGTGCTTCCACATTTGTGACAAGAAGACTTGGCTTTGGGTTCCTGATTTCTTTTACTGTATCCTTTCTTCTTGTCTAAAAACTTGTTGTTACGGTAGAATTTTTTCAGCCTTCTCACCAACATTGCAGCTTCTTCTTCATCGATGTCAGACTTCTCTTCGGATTCTTCATTAGCTCTTAATGCTAGCCCTTGACTTTTGACAGTCTCCTGAGTCCGATTGTTCGACTGGATCTCGTGAGTAATGAGGGAACCCGCAAGTTGTTCCAGATTGAACTTGGTGAAGTCTTTTGATTCCTGCACCGCTGCAACCTTTGCTCTCCATCTGTCATTGTCTGGAAGACTTCTTAAGACTTTTCTGACCTGCTCATCTATAGGAATTATCTTGCCAAGACACGTTAGTTCGTTAGTAATACTTTTAAATCGAGTAAACATGTCTTTAATGGATTCTTTGTTTCCCATTTCAAAGCGCTCATACTGAGACAAAAGAATGTCTATTTTGGAACGTTTAACATCTGACGTTCCTTCATGTGTAACTTCCAGAAGATCCCAAATTTCCTTTGCGGACTTGCACCCTTTGACACGAGTATGTTCATCGGGTCCAAGTCCCCAAATTAAAAATTTTTTGGCAGTAGCATTCATTTCAAGTTTTTCAAAATCAGTTTTTTCATACTCATCCATAGGTTTAGGGATTACCTCATTATTAGCATTTGTTTTCGTAATTTCGTAATCTCCTACTTGTAAAATCCGCCATACCTGATAATTCTCTGCTTGGATAAAGATTTCCATCTTATCCTTCCAATAAGGATAAAATTTGCCATTGAAGTATGGAGGCCTTTGAATGGATGTACTCCCGAATTCCTTTTCCTCTGTGTAAGCCATTTTCCAGGAACTTACTCAACAGGGTTGCCTGCGTGCTCTGAGTTCCCGCTCTGATACCAACTGTAAGTCTAACTGGCTAATACAAGAGGGGGGGGTGAATTGTATTTGAGGTGAAATCTAAAAACTTTTTGCGGAATTTAACTAAATGAAATAATGACGAGAGAAGATATAGGCTTTTCTAAATTTCCACTATGTAATCAAACTCTGTACAAGTGAAGATTCAAACCCGTTAACAAGTTCCCCAAATTAGGAACTTGTTCCCAACTCTCACAGAAGACTTCAGCAACGAAGCTTCCTTAACCTCACCTTACAAACTCACAATCCCAACCCCAAAGTACTTGTATACAATCTGTGATTACAAATACCTATTGCACTCAAGAATATATGAAGGAAAATAACTCTCTTTATGTTATTAGATGGCTACTGGAATTTTTATGCTTAAGAGTTATGTTTTTCTGAGATAGTTTGCACGAGTATTTATAGAGAAGGCTTAGTCATTAACCTCCACCATAATCACGTCCACATGTCAACAACCCACTAACAACTTGTGGAGTTATCTTGACAGATTGTGATCATGAAGAGGTTTCCTAGCCTTATCTAATTAAACCACTATCCTAACAACTTGATAACCATTAGCCGTATAAAAGATTTTCTCACAGAAAAACCACTTGCTAACTTTATCAAATATTTTATTTAAAAGATTATCAAAAGTTTGTTTAAAAAGATTTTATTTGAAAAGATAAATTTATTATTTATTAAAACAACTAGATAATTATCTTCGATAATTATCTTTATTAAAACTTTTACAAATTATCTTTTCTTTAAGAAATTATCTTTTAAAACTAACTTTTATTCCAGTAGTCTTTAACATAAGTCATTGATTTCCTTTCCGACTTTATATTATTGAGTGCTCACAATTAAAACTAGAACGTGAGATTTGCACGAGGCTTTTTAAAGAATGCTACTCCGCATCCAAGTTCCTACTCCGGAACGAACTTTGCTTGAATCCTTTATTCACCAAAGACTCAAAACATTCATTAGTCGAGTTTGTCAATTTGTCCATCAAAACCAAAAGGCTCAACAAAGGTACATTTTCATACTTGATCATCGCACTTTCTTTCCTACTAACCCTCGAATTAGAAGATCAACCTTCCCTATCACCTGCCATGTCTAAATTCAAGAGAAGAATGGAAGAAAGAGAAATGACAGAGTTTCAATTAGCTAGAGTTTAGTAATCAAATGCACAAAAATACGGAGTAAAACGTTTTATAGATTTTGTACAGAGACTTTTCACTACACTAACTATTCATTTTCTACGGGTAAATACAAGTTAATCTCTTAGATTCACAAAATTTGTTTATCACATGGCAATTTTGTAAATAAATCAACAACTTTTTCCATAAAAGTGGGTCCTACATTAATGATGACTAGATAAAGTTGTTCATTTATTTACCAAAATGTCATGTGATAAATAAATTTTGTTTATCCAGATATTAACTGGGGCTTCCTCATTTTCTACTTCAAACCAATACAAAGTAATTAGTTGAAAAAAAAAAACACTTATCCATTAAACATAAGTGACTATATAGAGTATTTGAAAAAAAGAGCAAACACTTATACACCTCTATTGATAAATGTTATTTGGACTTTTTGTTGTTTTTTTTATTCAAATTAACAGTTGCTAATACTTGTTTCATTGTATGCATTGGAGTGAGAAGATAAAAAAAAAATGTGTTAGTGCTTGTTTTTTAATATAAAAATCACCACTTCAACTTTCACGATCTAAATTAATATATTTAAGATCAATATTCAGATTATTCAACCTAAAACATTAACTCTTCAAATAATAATGTAATATATAATTTATGTGTAGTTCAACATGATGATTCCAATTTAAAATTGGGCAGTTGATCAACATCATTCCTTCATTTATGAATTTTAATATTTTACCAATTTAAGGAACCTAGATAAATTTTGCCTACTATACCACTTTCTTTTTTTGATAGTTTACTTGCAACAAGGTAACCTACCTACTAATATCGTTGTTCCTTTTTTACATTTGTTTTGGATTTGCAACTTAGACTTATTCCTAATATATTTTACATTAGTCCATGTTTTACCAATCAATGAGTACACATTTTATACATCAAATTTATTTACGCAATTTTAGAACAATCCTTTCCCAAAATAAAAACTTAGTCATGCATTCTTCTTTTTAAACAAAGATTATTATAAAAAAAAACTTTGCTCCACTTTAATTAAATGTTACATTAGGTATTACATATTGTCATTACGAGAATTAAGCAAGCTTAACTAACTCGTAAATAATTTTGGCAAATATTGAAAACTGCAAATGCACACTACATTAAACACACCACCGCTATTATTTTAAAAGTTTTTCACATAGCCTCTTTAAACTTACATATACATTAAATACTGCTCTAATGAAAAAAAATTAAAAAAATACGCGTTTTATACTTCCCGTTTAATTTCACAAAATTTGGGGGCGTCCGTGTTGCGGGCGCTCCAACAACTAGTTTTTTTTTTTTTTTTTTTAAATGTAGTCACGTTGCATCTTGTTAATTGCGTAACACATAGGAACACGATGCTTAAAATGGTATTCAAAATCACGGAGTATCAATATAATTGTGTGGTGGTTCCAACTAACTATTTTATATATTTTCATGCATTATTCTGTCAATTGTGATTTTACACTCTCCTATATATCTCAAATTCTCTCCATATTTCCCTTTCCCTCTCATCTAGGTGTTATTCTAAATGAAACATTTATTAAATAATCATTTTACCCCATGAGACATATTCAAATGTCTAATGAGTTCATAGGTAGACATTAGAATTTCCTTCCCCAAGTACAGATGCAATAATTTGATCCAAAATTGGGTCTATCTTGGCCACCATTTGTTTATCAACCTTGGGCCTAAATTCTTTATTAAGATTCTCTACAACCTAGCTTCAATTTACAATTTTACATGGTTTGAACATGAATCTTTTAGTTTTAGTGACTTTGTGTTTGTACACAACTGTGATTATCAAATGTGATCATAATCAAAACTCAATTGGTTATATCTAATTATAGGCTCACATAAACATGACCCGATTTTATAGACTATTTCATGTTTCATGGTAAACTAATGATCATAAATCTGAAGAAAACTCATACATAAAGCAAATTAGAATCAAATAGCTCAAAGTTGAATACAAACCAAACCACTTATTTAACACCTCGTTATCGTAATTAATATACAATCACATTGAATTAGAGATAAAATCGTAAAAGTAACCGAAAATCATATTTACACATATGGAGCGTAAAATGTTAAAGCAATAAAATTTGGATTAGAGGCCTTAATTTTTTATTTTTTGGTTTTCCACCCGGTTCACCCTTTGGGATAATTCGGATTCGGGGTTCAGTTCTAGATGGTTAGGTTCCAACCCCCTCCCCATTGTTGTTTCGGGGATTGAACACGCGGTTCTCCCTATCAAGTACAGCTCCAATCACCATTGCACCAACAGCCGATTATAGGGCTTAATGACCTTACACTACCAAAGTAAACGGCGAGTTGCGACATTGAATTACACAGCCAACACAGGACTACCCCAAAACCCTACTCCGACGTTGCATAGCCCACGCTCGCAGAAATCGAGAGAAAGAGGAGAGAGAAAAGAGAGTAGAGAGAAGAGATGTGGAGATCCATAGCATCAAGATCTTCGTTTACCAGAAGTTTTGGGCGAAAATTGATATCTTCTACCCAAACACCACCATCTCAGGTAATCCATAAACCCTTGATTTCATCACATTTTACAGTTATCGAGAATCCCGGCAAGTTTTGTTATCAGAATCACAGGTTTTTCTCTCATTCTTCTTCAATAAGTGAAATTGAGACTGAGAATCATGATTCCACTTCTTCTGAGGACGTTGAATTGGAAAATGGTGGGGTTTTTGATGATACCCATGATGTTAGTTCTTCTCAACAACTTGGTTTGAACCCTAATTTTGATGAAATTAATGATGCCCAGATGAGTGGTATTGGGTTAAATGATCAGGGATTAGAAGGGGTAAGTGAGGAAATTACTGGGGTTGATGTTGAACAATTGGAAAATGTATTGTCTTTGCTTCTAAATGATGTAGATGGGTCTTTAGAGTCTAGCCTTGATAGTATGGATTTGAAGTTGAATGAGGAGTTTGTGGTGAGAGTGCTCGAAACACCGCTTATTCCTGGGGATCATTTGATTAGGTTTTACAAATGGGTTTCGAGTCGAAATGAATTTAAAGGTAATACTTTGTTGTTAAGTGAACTTGTCCGTGCTATTTGCAATGATTCTGAACCCAAGAGGAAAAATGTTTATGCTTTGTGGGATTTGGTGAAGGAAATGGGTGAGAAAGAGAGTGGTGTTGTTGATGCTGAAATGCTAAATCAATTGATATCGGCGTTTTTGAAATTGGGTAAGGGAAAGGCTGCATATGAGGCATTTGGGAAGTTTGAGGAATTTGGCTGCGTCCTGAATGTAGACAGTTATTATCTTACGATTGAGGCACTTTGCAAGAGGTCATTTTATGACTGGGCTACATTAGTTGTTCAGAAAATGCTCGATGCTGGAATGCTTCCAGAGAGTGAGAAGGTTGGTGAGATCATATCATTCTTATGCAAAGGATACAAGTCCAAGGAGGCCCATGTTGTCTATCTTGCTGCCAAGAGGGATAATAAGTATCCTTCTCAGAAGGCAGTTAATTTTTTGATAAGTTGTCTGTCGAAGGTGGATGAAACTGTGGACTTAGCACAGGAGACGCTGGTTGATGTTTCTGATGAAGTTCGTAAACATGCTATCAATCCGTTCTCATGGGTCATCCGTGGTTTGTGTAGGAAAAATGACATTGAGGGTGCTAAGAAGTTGTTTGCTGAGATGATGGAAAAAGGTCCGCCTCCTGGGAATGCAATCTTTAATATTATCATTAACTCTCTTTCCAAAGCTGGAGATATGGAAGATGCCAAGAGGTTACTGAAACTTATGGAGACTAGAGGACTGAAACCTGATGTCTATACTTATAGTGTCATAATTAGTGGTTACGCAAAGGGTGGTATGATGGAAGAAGCTCGCAAAGTATTGTCAATGGCAAAAAGGAAACACTCCAAGCTCTGCCCTGCTACTTTCCATTCGCTCATTCGAGGATATTGCAACCTTGGAGAATTTGACAGGGCTATGAAACTGCTGAGTGAGATGAAGGACTCCGGGGTTGAGCCTAATGTAGATGAGTACAATAAGTTTATCCAATCACTTTGTTTGAAGGCTTTAGATTGGAAATCAGCAGAGAAGCTTCTGGAAGAAATGAAAGAGAAAGGTTTGTATCTACCTGGTATTACGCGAGGTCTTGTAAGTGCAGTTAAAGAGTTGGAGCAAGAGGCAGTTGGATCTGAAGATGATCATGCCAAACCATAGATTGTTAGTGGACCATGATCAGTGTTGTAACATGAAGTGGCTGAAGCCGTTTTTGTTCCTTTTCATGTGGTAGTATTTCTTTTTGTTTTATTCTTTTCATTTTCATTTGGTTATCAAATTTTGGAGCTCTTAGGCATTAATCTGGATGGCATTGATTCCAGAACTGTTAATCAAATAGTACATCTTCTTTGATTTGGCTGGCTATGCCATTTCGTTTGTGGTAGCTGGATCTGTTAGGAAGTTAGTGCTTATATATATATGTGCGAAATTGTTGGTATGGAAACATCAAAGAATTTTTGCTCTTTTTTTTCCAGTGAGCAAAATAATCACATCACTAACTCTATGTATGATTTCCTTATCAATGGAAGCTAAGGTTGTGGCTTTTAATTGTTTCTCTTTTGGCTAAGGGTGCATGGGTGGATATATTTTTGAGGGGTTTTCACCAGCCTTTGTTTGAGAGTTGGACAGTAGTAGTAGAGGTATGTAATTTAAACTCTGTAATCATCCCGTTTCTTTTGCTTTTAAGAACCAAGCCTTTTATTATTTGGTCAAGCAGGTTTTCTTTAAGTTTTAGGGGTTTTCTCGACTCAATTCAATTCGTTTTAAAATTGGAGTTTTTCTAATTCAATTCAATTATTTCAGATGGCTTTGATTCAATTTTGTTAAAAAAAAAAAGGGATTTTATTTTTTTGCATTCTAAACTTAGGGTTTTATTTATTTATTTGATTAGGATTGTTTAATGTCTAATTGACTTTACAATTTGGAGCAGGATTAGGTTTTAAGTATCAATTTTTTTGGTACAATTGTAGCTTACTTATTGCCATTAAGACAGTAACCATTGGCCTTAAATAATACCATCTCGAGCCGGAGTGAAAAGCTCATTGACTGAACTATCTTAATGATAAAAAGGACTCGTGACCTTGACATTTCCATGTTAATCGCTTCTATGGTCAAGGCATGTTTGAGTATTTGATGTTATTTGTGTATAATGGTTTCTGAGTACCCATGGCCATGTATGAATATAAATTGATTTCTTTTGTAGGAAAGAAATGATCAGATCAATGACAAATTAAAGCTGCTATGACAACGAGCAATCAGAACATATTATGTATTTAGAATTATGGTAATTGAGATGACAAAAGGTTAATTGTGTGATAAACAAGTATGACCTAAATGTTGATTAGAGTGTCAACAAACTGGAAAGAAATCAGATATGTTAATCAAGCTTGATGTAGAAACAAAGCTGCTTTAGACTTTGTGATGGAATAGTCTGATTTTCTTGATTTAAGTATTTTTTTGATTAAAATATTGGTGTTGATTTTTGATTTTTTTTATTATTTACAAATTGTTTCTCAAATTTGTTGATCGAATCTTTTTTTTATACCCCCTCCGTGTTTTAATAAGTGTTACACTTTGACCGGCACATAGTTTTAGGCAATATAATTAACTTAAATAAAATAAGAGGTAAATGTGGTAGTTAAAGTATTAAAAAATTGTAAAAGAAAGAGGTGGGGTTAATAGTTTATTGAAAAGTAATGAATGTGAGAGGAAAAAAATAATAAAAACGTAGTAGTGGGTTTGGGTGGGGACCATGAAAGGGGAGAGATATTATATTTAAATGTAGCTTTAGTCAAAAAAGAAAGTGTAACACTTATTAAAATACGGCCGCATTTAGTAAGTGTAACGCTTATCAAAACACGGAGGGAGTACATCTTATCATGAGTTGTCTTTTTTGTAGGGTTGGATATACAAGCTCAAATTTCATCTGCATTGTTTATGTACTTTTAATGTTATATTTTTAATTATCTGCATAGATATCTTCTAATATACCACCAAGATGCCTTCTTTAGCATGTTGCAGCATTCTTGGGGCTCTCCAATGAGTGAATTATGTTTGCTTTCAAGAAGAACTTGAATAAGAGGGGATATGGGACTTTGACCAGTTAAGTTGTCCATGCATTCGACAAGAGTTTTTATAGGTTTGAATTTATGACTAATTATCTCATGGCTTCTTTATGCAATTCTTATCCATGCATTATTATATACATAGTTCCTGATATTATTATCAATTTCTTCTTTCAGGAGTAATTTGGCTCTTCTTGGACGGTTTTCTAATGAATGCCAAAAGGGGCATTTTGAGGTATACTATAGTTATAATCTTTTAAGTTCTAGCTTTCCCTACCCCGCTGGCCGTTCAGGTGACTGTTGTAATTGATCAAACATTTTAAAATTACTTGGGCATGCTCTGTTGCAAATTTGCAATTGAGTAAAACACAATAGTTATAAAAAAAATTGGACAAAGCATCAAAAGACTTGTCGTGCTGATTAGAAAGCGACACCATCATCATTTAAAAAGGTTTTTTCGTCCTGTAGTAGCTGAAGCTATTGTGTAGTTTCTGTTGTCTTTCATATATGTGTTTGGAGGTGGCACTGGGTGACTAAGGTGGCTTGGTAGTAAGTTGCTTACTGGCAAGCTGAATTATTGGATGTTAATTCAAAGCTGTTGTGGCTTGTAGTTTGATAGAGCAGAACCTGGAATAAAAAAGTTACCAATTTTGTTCTGCAACATTTTGATGATCCTAATTTCAGATATTGTCCACTTTCCTGGTGTTGCGTTTTCTAATTCAAGGCACCCAATCTTCTATTGGCTTATTGCTTCTAAGTACCATAGCTCTGACATTTGTTCAGTTATAACTTATAAGGAGCTTCATTTCCATTATTCTTCTTCCATTTCTCTTTAGTCATCCATTCTCTATGACCAAATGCATTTCAGGACTACTGATGACCTGATCAAAGTGTGTACTGCAAAGTAAATGATTAATAGTTTATATTTAAAAGAATTATCACTCTTCCAAGTTCCAAGCATTAGAATGGTGTTGACTTACTATATCACATAGATTATATTTGGAGGTGTATTGAAGAGGATACTTTAGGGGAGGGCTCTTCAAATATATAAGCATGTATGAACGATTTTGCTGCAGCAGTCGGCATTCAGCCAGCCAGCAGTCAATTTGTATGTTGCGTACTTCACTCTTCAGATAGGTTGTTGATTCCTAATTAATTTGTTTGCATGTCTGAAGAACACATTAAGGTAACCAATTGGCTTAAAAAAGCTACTACCTCCGTTAAATATTAGTTGTAACTTTGGGGTATTATTTGTGAGATATAAAATATTCCAAAATTGCAACTAATATTTAACGGAGGTAGTATAATCTTTTATGCCCATTTCGATAGAGCATTTTTTTTTAATAGTTGTGTATTAAATGGCAAACTTCTACTGTAGCTTATGAACAGTAAATTTCCTCCCTTGCCCTTTCCCCTGAAATTACTCTTTTGCCCTCAATTGTGAGCTGCTGTCTTGGGCATCTTGACGGGTCATTCCTGATTTTCCTCGCTTCCTTTCCTTTTGCTTTTGATAAAGTTATTCTCACTTTCCTCACTCATGTTGATGGAAGTCATAGAACCCTAATTATTTTTTGTCTACGAGGTGAAGAAGGCAGAGAGGAAATTCTCCATTGATGTGGTGTGAAGCTTCTCTGCTCCATTGAAGTGGCTTGAAGGTTGTTTGTCTGTGTGGGATTGTATCGGCGATGGCTCCATTGCGGTTGCAATTTGTGGGCTACAACAAAGTTTTCTTCAGTTCAGGTTTGTTCAACAAGAAGATAAAGATTACAGTATTGATTGCCGATGAGAAATTCATCTCCTAGATGTCGACCCCGATGAAGCTGTAATTAAATTACACTTTCATCTCTTAAACCCTAATTTTTGCATTCAATTTCAATTTTTCCAATTGAATTTCTAATGGATCTTAATTGAATTTCTCAGGTCAAAAATGTCAAGGCTTTGGTTGAAGTCGAGGTACAATTAAAACCACTAATCTATCTTTGTTAATTTGATCAGATTGAATTGTAGTCACTGGTTTTGATTTGGGGGAGCAGAGTGGGCTGGTGTTGTAGCAGCAACAATTGATGTACAAAGGCAAGGAGATGAATAATCATGACAAACTCAGTGTACTCGGTGTTTGTGATGGCGATTTGATCATGATGCTTTCTAATGCTGCTCCGCCTTCTCGGTAATTTTTCATATTATTATTTATGTCAGTGCTGCTTTTACAAGTACTTTTTTGATGCTTTAAAAATGACGTGAATTGTGAATTAGGCTTTAGTTTTAAATGTCAATTAGGACTGGAAACTAATTTTTCATATTATTATTTATGTCAGTGCTGCTTTTACAAGTACTTTTTTGATGCTTTAAAAATGACGCGAATTGTGAATTAGGCTTTAGTTTTAAATGTCAATTAGGACTGGAAACTCTACTCTAATTGTATCACGATTTTTTTCTGTTTAAAAGGAATGTTTGATTGTTTACAACAATGTTTACTCTTAATTTAGGGATGTTTATTATAACATAATGTTGTTATGCTACTAATGTGCCATGAGAACTGTTATTGTCAATATCTGTGTATATGCAATTTAATATCAAATTCAGACGATTTTTGTGATAAACAATCCTTTCTATATGAACTGTTACTCTAACTTACCTTTGCTCTTGTAGTCCATTTTCAATTGACCTGGCCCTCGATGGTTCTGCTATGAATACTGCTGTTTTTCAGCAGCAATTTCGTGGTGATTCTTATCTGATGTTTCAGTTGTATGACTTGTATCAGGTATTGATGTGTTCATATAATATTCTTTGATAAGATAGCAATTGCTAGACGACTAGTGGAGCAAAAATTGTTTAGCTTTCGATTGGACTATTATCATTGTGTTACGTTGTGAAATTGGAACTATTAATTCTTGTTTTAAATGCTTTGTTTTTGTAAACCTTTATTCAGGAAAATTAGTGATTTAGGCTGTTCAATTAAATGTAAATCAATTGTTGTATTGTGCTTGTTGATTGCCATAGAAGCAGTATTGTAATGAGAGTTGATTTCCTAGCATGAAGTGACCTCATAAACAGCAAGTTCGTGCAGGGAAATCAACTCCCAATACATATCTATATTTTAAGTTTCTGCCTTTTTCTTTTATTCTGACCTTTGCGTGCCTATAAAACTTGCAGAGGGATCCTAAACTTGCTCAAGCCATATCTGGGAATGATCTAAATAGACTACAGGAGATTTTGAGGCAACACCATCATCAAAACAACATTGAGGCAAAAAGAAGAGGAGGAACTTGTAAGTATCCTCTCTTTGTAAGCCTTTTATTGAGACCTTAGAAGTCCCCTCTCCATTTGTTTAGAAAGATGCACTTTTTGATTTTTTTATCTGAACTCGGTACGGATTCCATATTTTAGGGATTATAGAGTAACACTCAATAGGATTATGCTGACTAGTATAATACCCAATTTTTTAAAAAAAAGAATGATGTGGGTCTATCTTTTAATAATTAAGTATAAGAAAAAAGGTAAGAGATTATTGTTTGGATAGTTTAGGCCACTTATGTCCATGATTTTTGGTATAAATTTGCTTACCTGCTCTTCTGAGACGGTTTCACCTGGGTCAATAGATCTGGTCAATGACAGATTGATACGACACCTCACAAGAACTCATGTAGAGCATTTTGAACTGCTCTATTGTGCCCCAGGTGATGTTGGGAGCTTATGTCTAGCAGAACCTTAAAAAATGTATTTTTGAATTTGGATGTGTGGAGTTGCACGCTTACACATAATGTCGGATTTTACTTTGTTAAACATGATAATCTCTATGGTCATGGACTCTGAGATGATGATTCTTGTCACCAGATGAGGTGGATTTAATTTGTTGAAAAGTAATCATTATAATAGAAAAATATTTTTTGCCTGGGGGTGAATCAATCTGGCAAATTGTGTTATGTATGTCCACTTATTTTCTTATGCTATAATATATCTTTATTGTTTTGCACACATATTAAAGGGTTTTTTTTTTTTTTTTTTTTTGGGTAGTATTCTATGGAATGAGGGAGTACATGTTACCCTTTCATAGTTGCATGCAAAACAAGCACCTGCTTTAGTTAAGTTGGGCACTATATCTGTTTTTTTTTGTTTATGTTCCTGTTTGGTGAAAAAGCAAAAAACAATCTTGGAGAAAATAAAAATTCAAAAAAATATTCTTTTGAGCTTTAACTTTCAAAATATTTCAGGGACCTTCTATTCAACGGTTTATTACCATTAAGCATCTTGCGCCTGATGACCCTGTTGAAGTTCTTGTAATCCTTCAAAAATATGCTCATTTAGTACAAGGTCTCTGGGTTCCAAAATCTAGCATCCGGAATCCAAATGCACGTGGACCAGAAATTTTAGCAACAGATTATGCTCTTCTTCTGTTCAGCCAGAGTCCATTCATAAAAGACACAAAATTAGATGTCCTGGGATCCCAGAAATCTACTGGGAAAGTAGTACTAAGAGAATTAGCTGTTGAGAGACCATCCTGTAAAGATTGGAAGTTCAAAGAGGCTACAGATGTTTCGTTTATGAAACTCTATCCAGATGTTGTCGAGAAGCAAATGAAGCTATGGGAAGTTAATGGGCAACTGATACAACAAAAATTTGCCAATCGTAAAGCAGGGCAAAGTTCGAGAAGCTCCATCAGAGCTGAATCCTCAATGCCTTCTGATGAAGGTGCTGTAAGAGCAACAACTGTGGCACACTCTGCAAGCACTTCCATGTCAAAAGAAACTCAAGAAGCCCTACCTAAGGTTTTGAAAAGGCTTTTCCAATGTCACAAAGTTTGCAGGTAAGGAGTTCCTATATTTGTGACCTGAATTATACTCAAGTTTTTTATTGTAAGTGACACATTAGATTCTGCTTGAATTTTCGGAGAATTATATAGGGTGCATAGGTGGTGTGCAGGTCGTCTTATTTCTCTCCACTTACTTCACTGCTTCAGAAGTTCAGAGAAAAGAGATGACCATGGTACTTAGCGGAGTAGAGAGAGTATTTATAAGTGTATATACTCCCTCCAACTTATATAAAAATTGGAACTTTACTCTAATAATAAGTCTGGTTAGCTTGTGCCTAGAAAAAAGAAGCTAAACCGCCAGTTATGTCCTTCAAGATAACTAGAATTCTGTGAAATTAATTTTATCAAGTATTATAAATGAAGCACTAACCATAATTTTTTTGCGGTAGGCTGGGGGATCCTGCTAATTGCTAACTGGGAAGTACATGATGCAGCCGTAAATATACTATACTAGTTTCAATCCAGTGCAACCTATCGATAGTGAATTGTTTGATAATTACGAATGACAGTTATTTTGAGGGTTTCTAGCTTGATAACGGTATCAATTAGCATGAGTATTGCCGTATTGTAATTTTTCTTATATCCCAAACACCCTTTCTCTCCCCGCTTACGGTCGCATCAGCAATACCCAATCAAACTCTCCCTCTCCCTCACTCTTCCACAATATTATGGGTGATAATGTTGTAAAACAATTCCCAAGCTCGACTCAATCAAGGCTTGACTCAATTTTGATGATCTCAGATCAAGCAATTCTTATAATTCAACTTGAAAAGCTAACGAGAAGGTCAAAATTTGTATGTATAGTATATTCAATGTTTTTTATAAACTAAAACATTTTGAGATATTTTGGATTTTAGTTACTATTATCATATTGTATTTGTTTAATCTTGTTAATTTACAAAAATATATTTGATGGATTTCTGGTATAATTCGTAATATAAAGTGGCTAATTTCGTTTACTCTAACAGAATGAAACGAAGTACGAAATAAATATTTTTCATTTTTTATTTATGGGTGTAAAGAGAAACACTCTCTGGTGTAAAAAAAATAAATAAATAAAGATTGACAGTTGGTTAGTAGCTTTTATAAGTTGAACACGTGAGCTTAAAGCCACTTTGTAGAGTTTGGCTCCATGCCTCCATCTATCACGGCGGTGGAAAATGCACTTTGATTTGATAACTGGATTGCTATTTGACAAAATAAACATACTCAAGCTGGCAATGTTAATTACATTCATACCCTTACTTTCAAATATTATTATATCCTCACCCATACTTACCTTCAAACCACAAATTTATACCACAACACGTCAACACCTACACTGCCACCACCACTAATACCCCGCCCACCATCACCACCACTACCACCACCACCACACCGCCACATTAATGAACGTATATATAATTATGCAAAATTAAACCAAATTAAGGACGACACATATTAGATGCATTATTAATATTGACTAATTATGAAAAATCGAATTAGATGCAAAACATTAATTTTGACTAATTGACTAATTTTGACTAATTATTTTCAAAATATTTAAAAAAAAAACGAATTTCAAAAATTTTTAAAATAAATAAATATCGGTGGACATCTGTAGGAGATGTCTCTACCGTGGTAAGGACATCTCCGACAGATGTCTTTACCAACGGAAGAACATCTACAACAGATGTCTCCACAGTGGAAGGGACATCTGCGACAAATGTCTCCCACATTGAGGACGTCTCCGACAGACGTTTGTAACCAACAAAAAAAATAAATAAAAAAAAAACTTACTGACGCGGTGGCCGGCGTTTTCCCCCATAGTTGCTTCCCTTGACGAGGCATGATGGTGTTGGCGTCTATCTCGCGCTTGCCCAGGTCAATAGAGCCTCGCCCGTGTTGCGTGGTGGGCTACTGCCATCATGAAAAGGTTGTTGTCATTTAGGCCCTGGTCAACGGAGCTCGGCCGGTGTTGCGTGGTGGGCTGCTATCGTCGTGAAGAGGTTTTTGTCGTTTAGGTTGATATTGTGGGTGGTGGCGGCTTGGTGAAGAGTGTGAAGGAGATGGTGGTGTATGAGGTAGATTGAATTAGGGAGAAGGGATTATTTATAAGGGTATATAGGTCATTTATAATGTCGTCCTAAATATTATATTTCGTCAAATAGTAACTTGACAAACCTCCGGTCATTCTAGCTACTTCCATCATTGTACTTAATGTCCACTCTAGGCATATAGTTACTCCAAATATTTAAATGTCACTTATAACCTTTTTATATGTATGGATTTATTAACAAAAAATAAGTTTTATATTTAATTAGTAAAAATAAGTAATTTTAAAAATTAAATATGAGTATAATATAGAAACAATAAAAATAAGTTTTAATCGTAAAAGTCAGTAATTTTAAAGAATAAATATAATTGATAACTGGTAAAAATAATTTCAGTTCAATAAAAATAAGGTGTAGAGAACACAGCTTAACAAATACATGGATTATGGGATTATTGTATAAATTGTAAAGAATATCATTTGGTGTTCTTAGATATGATCTTCATTATATAAAAAAAGCGAACAAGAGAGAAAAGAAAAAAGAAAAAAAAAAGTATTTATATCTAATTTTTTTTGACAAATTTTTATTTGGCCAAATTAAAAAATAACACCTGCAAAAAAATCCGATTTGATTATAACACCAAAACATTTCGAAATTTTATTATAACACCACTTAAAAAACAAATATTTTGGTTTCACCACCTAAATGGTGACGTCATTAGAGAAACCGTTAAGTGGGCTCCACATTATACACATGTCAATCAACTATTGGATTAAAAAAAACCATAAAATTAAAAAAATAGAAAATTTAAAAAAAAACAGCCACCACTTTCCACCAGCAGTGCCGGTGACCAGCGACGCAACAACTACCGGCAACCCAGCCCCACGCCGATCGAAAACCTTCGATCCCCTCCGGTGCTCCCTTTCCACCCTCTCCCTTTCACCGGCGACCCCAAACCATCCCTAAAACCAAAACCCGACCCACCCTCTCCCCTTCCCCTCCCCCGAAACGACCTCCTTGGCATCAGTTCGGCGACATCCCTATCTCTTCCTCCCCTCGCCGGCACAATCCCCCAGCCCCTCGCCAGCGTTGGGAGATGTAAGCCTGTAAGGTAATGAAACCACGGCCGTCACCCCAACCCAACCCCCGTCGCTGTCTTCCCGACCGAAAACCGTCGTCGAACCACCTAGACCCAGCCCCTAAAACCACCCCAAACCGCCGAGTGATTTTTATGTTGTGGTTGTGATTTGCGGTGATAAGGTCGGGTTAGGGTGGTTTTCGGGGAGGGGGAAGGGAGGGTTTTGCCGGTTTTGGTGGGACATGAGTTTCGGCGGCTTGGGTTAGGCAGTTGGCGGTGGGGGACAGGTGGTGCCGGTGGTGGGCTGGGCAGTGGGCTGGGTTAGGATGTTTAGGATTTTTTTCTTTTTTTTTTTATATTTTTTTTAAAAAACCAATAGTGTAGTGACACGTGCTTTTTGTCCAATAAATATTTGACACTTGTATAATTGGGGCCCACTAACGGTTCCTCTAACGGCGTCACCATTTAGGTGGTGAAACCAAATTTTTTTGTTTTTTAAGTGGTGTTATAATAAAATTTCGAAATGTTTTGGTGTTATAATCAAAATTGGGTTTTTTTGCAGGTGTTATTTTCTAATTTGACCTTTTTATTTTATTGCTGATTCTTATAATACATCACTAGCATCAACATTGAAATAAAACACATATAGCTTAGGCTACAAGTATAATTTTCTCTACTATGTAGCTCACTTACATCATAACAAAGGTACACATTTATTCCTCTAATTCACTGGGGCTCTCTTCTAATTCACTGTCATAAATATCCATATAAGGCAATTCCTCCTTTTCAACACGTTGCAAAACACTTTGAATACGACATGACAAAGAAGTCTGTAGAAGCATCCACAATGTTACGTATATATTAAACAACTTGACTCTATATCCAACACCCTGACAATCAGCATCACTAGCAGAAACGTCAAAAACTAGCAATTCTAAGGCACTTGCACTATTCAATAAATACATTAACAAATACATCGCCTCATGGTCATATTCTAGCCCCTTAAGGCAGATAATTATCTCTTTTACACGTTGCAACGAGCACAGAGGTGGAGTATCTAAAGGAATTGATCTTGGGGTTGTAGATATTAAACTTAGTGAACACATAACTTCCAATATCTCATCAATTGAGCTCATCCTAATAGTTAGTTTCTCAACATTGGAAGCATGATTAAGAAAACGCAGCAACGTCTTCCAACAAGTATGAGATGTTTTCGTAAATTCAAGATGTCTTAAATTATGACATACCAGCAATTGAATATCACCATTCAAGTCGTTCAAAGCAATTAACATAGTAAAACACAGCATAAGGGCCTTAACACCGCGAAATGCCCAAAATAACTATGTGCCTCTACTCATCCGACCTTGGGAATACGTTAAGCTTGCACTTTGTAGCTCTCCTGGTTCGCGGACAAACCTAAACTCTGATTGACTTACATCTTAAGCTTCAAACACCGTCAAATTAGGGGCATCAATATCTACATGTTTGGTCCCAACCCTTCCTCTCACATTGCGTGTATGAATACACAATGACTTTAAATTTGTTCATGAAAGAGCCACATGAATGTCTTTATCCCCATCCTTATTATCAAAATCTTCATCAAAATTCCCATACAATCTTAACTCTCCAAGACAAGGGCAAGAATTAAACAGGTTGACCAACAAATTTTCGTGATTATTGTTAAGATGACTTATGTTAATAATCTTTAGATTAGGAGCACTAATTTCATCTGGCAAAGTAATTATATCAAGTTGTATGCCCAAAATGAGAGATACCAATGACTTGCATTGGAAGAGACAAGGTGGTAATGTGGTTGAAATTTCATCACTAGTAATATCTCCGAAAAATCGAACCTCAATAGTCTGAACTTTTCGTGTGCAAAAATCGAATCCACGAGGCGATATCGGTTCCTAAAGTTGTAAGGTAAGTCTCTTGACTTGTGTAGCGATTATATAAGGAGTAAGAATAACCAAACTCAGGGGCTTGGTACGGGTGGTCATCGAGAAGGAGTACAAAGGTTTGGATTTTAGGGGATAAAAGTTGAGGTAAAACATGATTAATGATAGAAGATGCATTAAGGCCTTACTAGTTGATTCGTCGAAGCGAAAAGCAGTGATGAAGGTCCAAAGGCGACACCATCTATTTGATAGTACACCGGTAATGAAAGCGGATTTGATAGGAAGGAGTGAGAGAATAACGATGAGAATTGAAGTTAGAAGTGAGCTCAATCTATCTTCGTCACCTTGAAGTCCAGAACATTTTTGGTGACTAAATCCATGGAAGGTTGTAATTTGAATTTGTGGAGAAGGGGTTTCGGTGGCTTTGCTAGTTTGACAAAATGAGCAATTTTTAGGAAAACTTAATTTACCTTGTTGCAAACAAGGCAAATGGATTGGCTTATGGAAATAAACATTGTAATACTTTGGATCATTATATACATAATTAAAGGTACTAATTGAGGAGAATCACATCAGATTTTTTTTTTTCTTCCGTGAATACTGGCAACGAATTTGTAAAAAATAAATGACACCTCGTCTGAAACAAAAAAAAAAAAAAAAAAAAATCACATGAGATCTCCTACATAAATATTGTAAAATAATTGTCGGTCTTTTGAGATATTGAATTCACATTATTAGCTTGTCTTATGATTAGTAGGGATGCATGCCACAAGTTCGAATCCTAATTAGGTAAAGCTTTCACGATACGCATGTATCACCTAGCCTATTTTCCATATTATTGTTTGATATATAATCACATACATGTCACCCACAATGATCCATTGGTAATTTGGAAATGAATCTGTATGAACTAAGTCATGGTCTGGATGAAGATGGTTGTTAATATGCCCAATGAATATTGGGACGAGAATGTATCAAAGGGATGTGATTCTTATACCTCCATATTAAATGTGGCTATTAAAAAGGATTCTTCATATGGGTCATGGGTCATACTACCTAGCTTTTGTTTAAAAATAGTTACATCACTACATTTGGATCTGGGCGTAAGGGCAAATCCAAAATAAAATTTACTTTGTATGTTTTTTATTTATTCATTTTTAATTCAATTCAATTTGAATTTCTCATCAAATCTAATCCGAATTAAAATTTAGTTATTTGGTTCTGATTCAAAATTCCAAATTAAAATGTGATGTAAGGCCTAATGACCCATAATCCAATAAATTTTTTTTTATATGAAAATGAAATTTAAAAAAAAAAAAGGTTGTAAATTAAACAGATTCTCAATACAAGCTTGGAATTTTTTTTTAATACTTGACTAGTTTTGGCAGATTAATAAAGGTAAGATTTATTAACGATGATTCATGTAATTTTTTATAAAAAAAAAAAGATTTTAAATTTATTTAATGAACATCTTTAAAAATCTTGTATGTTACTTTCTTTTTTCTTTTTCTTTTTTTTAATGTTAAACTAATTAAAATTTTTTTTGATACAAATTCATTTTTTAACAATTTTTTTTTTTCAGACTAAAAAAAGAAAAGTATTTTGGAGGGAAAAATTTTCATACAATTGTGCCAAGTGTTTTATTTGGTGATTATTTTAGTATTAGTATAGATAGATTGCTGGAATAAATATCATTTTCTTTTTTTTGAAGAAATATAATTACAGGATAAGATAAAAAAATCATTAATATTATTGTATATTAAGAGGTGATTTTTAAGGATTTTTTTTTAAGAAAATTGGTTACGTTTATCACTATGTTATAAGCCAACTAGTGTGTGACCTGGGCTTCGCCCTAGGTGATACTTTGAATAATTTCATTTATATTAGACGCTTTAAAAGATTTATTAATTTATTTAATGTGGGTACATTAGAATACAATTACAACAATAATTTATTTTGAATTTTTATTTGTTTTTAATTCTAGCTAAGATGGTAATACTTTGTATGCATTTTTTTATTAAGATTATTGGAAGATAATGTGGCATGATACTAAACCTTGTTGAATGATGGTGTGACGCTATACCAGTGTAAGAAGGGATACACGTGGCACATACACAATTTTATGATCGCATTTTAATATATGGTATAGATATATGAATAAAGTCATAATATCTGCCTATTAAAATTATGATACCCTCTATCAGAAAATGTCAATTTTGGAAAAAAAATCAAGAATTATTAACTTTCCAATTAGAAGACATAAAAGTTATGTTCATTTCGATTACGTTCAAAGCTACTCCATATATCTCCAATGTGTGATCCCTTGATTGTTTAGTTGATTCATCTTAATAAGTACTTTAATTATATCAAACATTTACTTTTTTCAGAAGTTGATGATTTGCCGCTTCCTCACTAATCTAAATTAATTCTACTAAAGTTTCGAACATTGCAAAATTAATCAGTTACACAAAATCCAACACATTTATTGCATATATGCAAATATTTACAATAAAATTTCATAAATATAGGCGTAGGACATTAGAGCCAATTGTATAAACTCTTTCTAATGAATTAGCCACATCGCGCGCATCAAATACCCCAATTATAAGTTTAATTACGTCTATTATACAATACGTAGTTAAAATTAACTACTGGTATGCACCCATTTATTTAAAAGACCTTTTCGATTTACATTAAATTACAAATAAAAAGGTATCTTTTAATAAGATTAAAAAGAATGCATCAAGATTGAGTCCTAAATGATGATGTAATAGACGCCAAAATCTTTGGACCTAGACTTTTAGCATATACTTCTACCAAAATTATTAATAATATAAGATCTACCCTTAATATTTTATAATTAGGTGCATTACAACAAATAAATAAAGTAGAATAAAGATTCAAGACACATGCAAAACGACGCGGTTTTGGCTACAACTAAACAGCACCGACCCAAGAAATGTGAAATAGGTTTCCAGACCCGCGTCTAACAATTCAATTTCTGGATTCAGACAACAAAAATGGGTCCCACAACAAAGGGTATTTTCGGAAATCTTGTTTAAGGCTGCTTAATTAGTTAATTTTTGACACTTTTTTTCCTTTTTAATTAGCAGCTTCATTATTAACTAAAACTCCATAAATCTGCAATTTGAAGGAAAAATATAAATTACAAAATAAATAAAACCCAACTTTTCTTTGCTTATAGCAGGGTTTATATAACTTTTTCTCTCTCTTCTTTGTCTCTCTTCTTGAGTAATTAATTTGGGAGAAGATTTAAGCTTTTTGGGTCCAGCATTTTATTCAAGTATTTGGGTTTAATTGTTTTTGGATTTTTTTTTTTTAATAAACAGTGAAAGAAATTATTTTTAATTGAAGGATAGTTTGGAGTTGCAGCAAACAGAGTTTGGAGCAATTGGGTTGATTTGATTTGGGCATTTTTGAAGAAAAAAGGAGGAATTTTTGAAGTTTTGATTTGGGTTTTATTGGGGAAAAAATTGGAAATTTGGAGTTTAAATGAAGTGGGATTGATTGGTAGGAGGAAGAAAAAGAAACCCAGATCGAGAAGCAACTAGGGGACTTCGATCCGAATTAAAGCAAAATGGTAATATTTTTAAATTGTTTTTAATTATTTGGTTTATAATAATTTTTGAATTTTTGTGATTTTTAGTTGCATTTGTTTTAATTATTGTTGATTAATTGACTGATTTATACTGTTCATTGACTTAATTTGACTGATCTGTTCTTCATTTGAGCAATGTGTTTACTACATTTGAAGAATAATTTGAGCTTATTTTGAATTTTATTTTCTTAATGTCACGCTGCTAAATTTAGTTATTTATACATTTTGATTTGCTTGGAGTATTGCTTTTGATCTATCATTCATTTTTCGATTTTAGTATGCGTATTAAAGTTCTTCCATCTTTTTGTTTTTGTTTGTTCCGTAGATTGATATGGAATGATTTTTTCCTACTAAGTAGAAAACGAAGAATATCTGAATTGTGAGCATTTATTATTATTTATTAGAAAGGGTGCTCAAGTTATGATTTTATTCCGTAGAAGGTTGAGTTCTTGAGATTAGATGAGCTGCCTAATGGATTTTATTGGAATTTTGATCAGCATTTATTCCTGAGCTTGTCGAAGTTCTATATTGCTTGTGAAGTTATGATGTCAATATAATGGTGTGATAGAAAGGATGAAGGAGAGAAGAACTTATTATTGTTCCTGAATCCTGATCCTAGTTTTGCTGTTTCCTCTCTTTACATTGTAAAGGTTTACATAATGGGGGTGGTAGAGTTTGGGCGTAACTTAGGGGAAGGCAGAACTTTTCATATTGACCCAACCTGCAACTGGGGGTCGGGGGCCTTTTTTAGCCAATCTTTACTGCTTATTTGTTGAACCAAGAGTTTAAGCTTTATAATTCCTAGGTGCCAATGACCCGGCACCTTATGATCTATGTTACTTGGACTCGGGTACCCATGTCCGTCACGGGTACGTGTCCAAGTGTCTGACTCGGCTATTTTATGAAAATTTCCATGATTTTGAACAAAAATGAAGTGTCTAAGTGTCCTACCCATGTCCGAGTGTCAAGGGTGCGACACGGGTACTTGAGGTGAGATGAAGAGTCTGGGTAACATAGCTTATGGTCATCAGTCTCTAATGTAGTGAACTGTAAACTTTCGGTCACCATTTGAGCATGTGCCATATCAGTGGACCTTGTAAATGCTATGCCTGACATTGTGTTTCAAAGAGAGAGAGAGAGTCTCTCATGTAGTGATCTGTATCTTTTCGGTCACCATTTGAGAATGAGCTGTATCAGTGGACCTCGTAAATGCTATGCCTGATATCGTGTTTCTAAAAGAGGATGATCCGCATATAGTGCTAATATGCTATACGATAGGCATTAGTCTTACTAATAACGTTCCTCTATAGATAACATGGCTACTCTTACCCCTTATAGTTGATTCAGATCTGAACGGTGATTAATGGAGGGTCATTAGTTTTGAGTCATGATTTGATATAAAATGTAATACCCAGTTATTTTCAACTAAATTTTAAACTTTTAATGTGCTATGCTGCTATGTGAAAAGTTTTAGTGACTATAAAATAGCATTCATCTAAATATAACAAGCCTACTCTTACCTCTTTGACATTCCAATCATATGTTCTTATTCTCTTACTTTGGTGTTTATGTTTTTTGCATACTTTAAACTGTTTAGAAATGTTATGCTATATAAACTGATGCTCAAGTTGAGATGGAGCTATAACCCCAAATGGAACTAAACATTGTTTTTGTATTTTTCAGGCTGCTTCAGTCAGTTTAGCTGTCGGATCTCTTGTTTGGATTGAGGACCCTGATGTTGTCTGGATAGATGGCGAAGTAGTTGAGATTAATGGTGAAAATTTAAAGGTCCTTTGTACTTCAGGAAAAACGGTGAGTGCTGAATTGCCTGGTCTCATGGCATATATCTTAATGTATATGGCCTTAAGTACAGCATAAGTGATTCTTTAAAGTAGGCGTATCCGCTCATATGAATCTTCTTTACTTTCGTGGACCATGAGCTCTACGCAATTGTGCATGTGCACACGGCTGCTTACTTTCCACTTGAATATTTTTTATGTTCCTCATTGTTTATAGTTCTTTTTTGCTGGCTGTTCATGTTCAATTAGAATGATTTTTGTCTTGTTAGATGAGTTTTAGTGACTAAAAAAATGGCAATGTTCATTTTTGTAAATTCTGTAATTCTATTACTCTATAGTAACCTTTATGATGAATTTGTGCTTTCTTGTAATATGCAGGTTGTAGTTCACGCTTCAAATGTTTACCCTAAGGACCCAGAAGCCCCTTCATGTGGAGTAGATGACATGACAAAGCTGGCTTATTTACATGAACCAGGGGTATTGCAGAATTTGAAATCTAGATATGACATCAATGAAATATATGTAAGTGATATTTTCCTGTATAAGTGTAAATTTATAGGTATACCATACTACCATGTAATAAATAATTAGCTGTATCATTCATGTTTGTGGTGGAGTAGTTGATGAATAATGCTATCAAGTATCAACTTTACTGAGATGTGAATGTGATCATTTCTAATACAATCTCTATTGAATGTTTAGACAATTTTTTTAGGCAACATTAGCCTCAACAATCTGGAATTTAGGTTGGGTGCACCCAACATCATGAAGTTTAACTAATTGCTTGCACACCACCAATTATTGATTGGGGTGCAACGCATGCTATTAATGGGTATTTTTTGGCACTCAAACTGAGACATTTCTAGTAATTAAAGGGTAATTAATTGCACACTGAGACCTTTCTGGTAATTAATGTTTAATTAATTGCACACGTTGCGCCTCAATCAATAGTTGGTAGTGGCTAGTGATTAGTTAAAATACGGGGTGTTGGGTGCACCCAAGCTATACTCAGGGAGGCCAATTTTGCCTTTTGTTTAGACGACCTGATAACATTTTTTTTTTTTTTGGGAATATTATTTTATTATATCATAACAATGGTGTTGAATTGTTGATGATGAGATTAGTATTATTCTATAATTAGGTGCTATAATTTGTTATTATTTGATCTGATCGTTTTATGTAGTCTGATTTGATTTCCAATAAATATCGAGGACCTAAAATAAGCTACAGAGCGTAACCTTAGAATTTTATCAACTCTAGTGTGATTTAATCCCTTCCATTGCATCCAACACAATGTCTCTTGAAACTCTGTTGGTGACTTTTGACCTCATTGGTCCTGATAAACAACTTTGTGTCTACAGACTTATACTGGGAACATTTTGATAGCTGTAAATCCTTTCAGAAAACTGCCTCACTTGTATGACATACATATGATGGAACAATACAAGGGGGCAAGTTTTGGTGAGCTAAGTCCACATCCTTTTGCGATTGCAGACGCTTCCTACAGGTACTGTATACTATTTATCTTGTATAAGGTATCGGTTTCTTATTGCTCTCAATCCTAGAAAGATATCAAGAGGGAAATAGGAGTTGAACCTACATGTTTCTCTCTGCAACTTCTTATTACTTACTCATTTGGGATGCTTTTGAAAAATAAAACCTGTTGGGTGATGAGTTATGGCTTATGGGACATTACTTCAGTACCTGTTTATGTAGCTCAGCAGTGTGTTATATCTGCTTACAGGCTTATGATGAAGGAGGGAATCAGCCAGTCAATTTTAGTGAGTGGGGAAAGTGGGGCAGGTAAAACAGAAAGTACAAAATTGCTTATGCGTTATCTTGCTTATATGGGGGGTCGAGTTGCTGCATCTGAGGGAAGAAGTATTGAACAGAAAGTTCTGGAGGTAAAAATGCTTTCTCCCTCAATTAAGTATAGCTTTAATTGGTTTCAGCTCATATCTATTATAGAGTGGAAAATGAAGTTGTAATTTGCCGTTTGACTTCATCTTGTGTGACTTATTAATGAATCTGTTCTTATTCTTGCATATTGCAGTCTAATCCTGTTCTGGAGGCATTTGGCAATGCCAAAACTGTCAGAAATAACAACTCCAGGTAATTTGATTTAAATGATTTCTGGAGATGCTATAACCATTTGAAGCAGCATTTGTTTGATTAACGAGTAAAAAATGTAGTCGCTTTGGGAAGTTTGTGGAGCTCCAATTTGACCAGAAAGGAAGGATTTCTGGAGCAGCAATAAGAACATATTTGTTGGAAAGATCTCGTGTGTGTCAAGTATCTGATCCTGAGAGAAATTATCATTGTTTCTACATGCTCTGTGCCGCACCAACAGAGGTAAGTAGATTGCAATGGCTTCCCTCTTTAATATTAGCTGTCGATTTATAAGTTAGGAAAATGTAGAAGGTAGGCCTCCAATGACATATCAGTTTGGTAAATTCATTGTAGGCGAATACTCCTTGTTATCCAGGGCTTCTTTCTCGTCTTCATTTGATAAAATATGTCTAAAAGATCTATTCTACATCACCTTTTGGAATGCCATATAGATAGCTGTCCTATTTATGATGTTGTAGATGTTTAACCCTTGCTGTGTCACTTTTCCTTGGAAATACCTTGATGTAAGAGAGAGGGATTTTTTGCCGTAGAGTGTCTTGGTTTTATCTCTGGACCATATTCTGTTTTTTTATTCATAACTGGACCAGAATTGTATGATGTAAGACCTGTAACGACACTTTGTTGTTTGACCTCCTGTTGTTTGGGTGAGGTTATCTAACCATTGCCTCTGTGCAAAAAGATTTCATCTATTGCAGAGTCTGTCTTTCCATTTAGTCTTGATTAGAAACACATTGATTAGCATGCAGCTGTGCATTTGTAAGAGCTAGATCATAGGTTTATCAGATAATTGATATGGTCAGTTTCTTTGAAGCATGCTATGCTGTTGTGAGCTACTCTTGAAACTTTATCGAAAAATATTTCCTGAGGAATGTTTGTGCGTTATTATTCTTTCCTATATGTAAATTATGTTCAGTAATGGCTCTTGGCTTCAGGTTGTTCAAAAATACAAGCTGGGAGATCCGAAAACATTTCATTATCTGAATCAAACGAATTGTATCAAGTTGGAGGGGGTTGATGATGGCGAAGAATACCTTGCAACCAGAAGAGCTATGGATGTGGTTGGGCTTAGTCCTGATGAGCAGGTATTTATATTCCCTCTACATCCCTTCCCCCGGTTTGATAACCCACATTGTAGAAATTTTACATGAGTTAAAATTTTATTTTTGATTTTCAGGATGGAATCTTTCGGGTTGTGGCAGCAATTCTTCATTTAGGAAACATTGAATTTGCAAAGGGGAAGGAAATGGATTCATCTGAGCCCAAAGATGAGAAGTCCCGGTTCCATCTGCAAACGGCTGCTGAGCTTTTCATGTAAAACATGCATTCTGTTGATTTTGTTGAACACCAATTCAGGAAGAAAAAAAAAATTTCTTCAGTGTTATCCTCAAACAGGAATTATAACATGTTATGCTGTTCAGGTGTGATCCAAAAGCACTTGAAGATTCTCTTTGTAAACGCATAATGGTTACTCGTGATGAAACCATTACCAAATCTTTGGATCCAGAGTCTGCTGCCCTTAGTAGAGATGCCTTGGCTAAAATTGTATACTCTAGGCTGTTTGACTGGTAAGAACTTAGATTTGTGATTTTTAGTATCATGGTATTATTAGATTCTGCTCGTATCAATTCCTCTGCCATCTTATGCTGTAGGCTTGTCGATAATATTAACACATCAATTGGTCAAGATTCTAATTCAAAGTTCATAATTGGAGTGCTGGACATCTATGGATTTGAGAGTTTCAAGACAAACAGGTGCTTAACCGGTATGCCTTTACTTTTTATGGTTGATGGGAATATGTATGATGGAGCATGGGGGCAGCAACATCTGCTTGTTTAGTTGAGGTCCATGGTGGACATTATGCAATGACTTGCTCTGAAGTAAAGATGACTGATCGATCTTCAGCCCTGAAGCTACTAACATTTTCTTGCTGCAATTACTTTCTCTCATAGTGATTTGCATCTTTTCATTTTGCAGTTATGCTTGTCAAATCAAATGAACATGTTGACAATAGAGAATGTGAAAAGTTTCTATTTCTACGTATTTTCGTTTTCTTAGTTGTTCTGTACCCTTTATTTGAGTATTTTGAAATAGTTGTTTCATTTGTCCTTTTGGTAAGTTTTATGAGTAGGTCACATGAGCTATGCTATCACATGGGCGATGCTTGTCAAATCTTATGAATTGTTACCTTTGGCCCATTATTCTTAAAAATCTGTGCTAATTAGAAATGGAAAATCTATTAAAAAAAATTACTGTTGTGTAATATTTTAATATCAAGTTTGGTCCATATGTGACTGAAGTTTCGAAATTTGAATTTCTAATTGAGAAAGAGTAGCAGTAATACTGTCGTTCTGTTTTGGTATGGAATCTTACTTGGACTTTTAAAGTGCGTGGGCTGCTCTGTTGTTTATTGAAAAATCTGAACAGCAGCTTAGAATTGTAAGCTGAACTTCTGAAAAGACTACAGCTTTGCATGAGATTATCTAGTAACAGTATCATTTCTGTGCAAAAGATACCGTCCTATTAGGCACTATATGTTTACGTTGGATTTATGGTGCTTATCTTAACGGAGAAAGTGTTAACTCACTTAACTGTTTTTGAATGAATTAGGTTAATGATTTCAAGGAAAACAATTCATAATTGAGTCGTAACACCTTGCTGGATATATTGCGAGTAAAAGTGAACTTTATGATATCTTTATAAGATGTTGATCAAATATTCTTAATGGAGTGACTACTTTTTCATCAATCAAAGATTTGTTATACATTTCTGAACTCATATATGGAAATCAATGGTAGGAGCCACTTTGTGGCTGATCATCTCATCATTAATTGTTCATCCAGTTTGTTTTGTCTTTTCAGAATTTTTTGTGGTGATTATTATTGAATTTGTTACTGTGATGAATGATGCATGCTCTTTTGGGACATTCAACTCTTAACCCACCTTCTATTTCTTTATCTTTCCCATGACATTATGGCTGGGTGTAAGGCAGGAAAGGAAAGAATTGGATATTACTTTTTATCTAGTTGAGTATCTTAATTTAAATGTATGTATTCAATTATATGGTATTATGAAATTATGTTAAGATCATTCTTCTGTCAGTTGAAATTGCTTTCAAGAGAGAAACATGTAAATTCTTGCCCTTTACTTTTCTACCTGTTCCTGATATTAAATTTTTATGATAAGTCATTGTGACCACTAAGTTTGGTGCCTTTGCAGTTTTGAGCAATTTTGCATTAATCTAACCAATGAGAAGCTTCAGCAACATTTTAACCAGGTTTCTGAATCAATAAGCGATTAAGCGAACATTTTCCTGCTTGAGAATTGTTCCTTCTCCTTTTCATGTTTTGGTAACACATTGAAAATATGTCATGCAGCATGTCTTCAAGATGGAACAGGAGGAATATGAAAAAGAAGAAATAAATTGGAGCTACATTGAATTCATTGATAATCAAGATGTTCTGGATCTCATTGAAAAGGTTGGTGTCCTGAATGTTTCCTGGTATTGTAATGAGGGGTTGTCCTTTTCGTACTCCTTTAAAATTATTCTCTAGGGAGTAGGGATAGTCCTAAAAACTGAGAACACAATAAAATCCTTCAGTCGCTTTGTGAATGTTTGGTTACTCTTTTTTGTATTATCTTCCTCCTGCTCAGTTGGTTGGTGAATTCTTGGTTACTCTTTTGCTTTATAGGCAGTATATGATTTAGCCTGTTAATTATTTTGCACTGCTGTGAATTTATACTGCATTCTCGTAAGTAACGTCTTTTTCTTCATCTGTGAACTTCTCTTTTTCAGAAACCTGGTGGAATCATTTCTCTTCTGGATGAAGCTTGGTAAGCAGAGTGACAAATGTATTATAGATACAGGAATTTAGCATTCTCTTGATAAAAAAATTACATTTTTGATGATTTTTCCCCCTCTGGACAGTATGTTCCCAAGATCTACGCATGAAACATTTGCCCAAAAGCTGTACCAGACGTTCAAAAACCATAAGCGTTTCAGCAAGCCTAAATTAGCTCGTAGTGATTTCACTATCTGCCATTATGCTGGTGATGTAAGTTAAAGTTTTCACTGCATACGTAGGTTGTTGCCATTAGTCATTAAGTTCTGTAGCTTAAGGGATTTCGTACGTGTCTGTAGGTTACCTATCAAACTGAACTGTTCCTGGATAAGAACAAAGACTATGTTGTTGCTGAACACCAAGCACTTCTAAGTGCTTCCAGATGTTCCTTTGTAGCAGATTTATTTCCTCCTTTACCTGAAGAGTCTTCTAAGTCATCAAAGTTTTCATCAATAGGTACCCGCTTTAAGGTATGTCAATATTTTGTTATATTGCCTAATATGTGTGATTTTATGTAAAGCTTGTCTTTGTGATGTTCTTTTTTCTGTTTATGTAGCAACAATTGGTTTCACTTCTTGAGACGCTGAGTGCAACTGAACCACATTACATTCGCTGTGTGAAGCCAAACAATCTTCTTAAGCCAGCAATTTTTGAGAATCAGAATGTCCTTCAACAATTACGCTGTGGGGTGAGGATTACATGTCCTACTTTTCTTTTGGACATCGTCACCTGAAAGTGCACTGTATGTTTGTTTATTCTGACTTGTTGTATCTTCTATTTTAGGGGGTCTTGGAGGCTATTAGGATAAGCATGGCTGGGTACCCCACTAGAAAACCATTTTTTGAGTTTCTAGATCGGTTTGGAATTCTTGCACCAGAAGTCTTAGATGGAAGGTAAACCATGTCTTTTCCTGCACGTGATGTTGCTTGGAAATGAAAGTATGAAACTGATTTCTTTTATTTTTTTTTATATTTTAGTTCTGATGAAGTCACAGCATGTAAGCGGCTTCTTGAGAAAGTGGGACTTGAAGGCTACCAGGTACCAGAATCATGTTTTGAAAATCATCTTGACTTACTTGGATGAAATGTTTATTTACTCTTCTTGTTTGTTACACTCTTTGAAAAGTTGACATTAGCAATTAACCTAGCAAGCATTTTCCAAGCCCATACATTATTGCCAAGCTATCTTCACTATTTTTTCACCGACCTGAGCATAATACTGGTTATATATATCTCTCTTCCATTATACACCAGTTTCTGTGTGGTTGCTAATACGTAAAAAGGGGCATTGGTTCAAAGGAGCTCTGTTTGTCTAATACATCTGGGATTGATAACAAATCTATTCTTCTTCAAAACGTTTATGACTTTTTTTTTTCCTTCTTATTGTGATGATATACAGGACCATCTGCTGCTGTCATGATTTTTAATTCTGTTACCTTGCATGAATTTTAATGTTTAAATAAGTGTGTATTTAATCTGTGATCTTATCATCTTATGTATGTTAGAAATCTCTGATGATATGCGAAGCTCGGTTGTACAATATCTGACTATTCATTGTGGTAAAATTGGCTGGCCTAATTTAAGGTTTCATCATATAGTTAGCCTAGTAGACTTGTAGCTGTCCTTGATACTCTATTAGTGCTTTATAATCACAAGAAATTTGACCAATAACTTGTAAAAAGGTGGATTTTGGACTTCTTAAAGAACTTTTGACATTGTAAAGTTTGAAAAACCCCATCTGATTGCTCCTTGAAATCTTGAATGCTACTCCTTGAAAAAATTTCTATTTGTTTTCATCATGTCGTCTTCTGTCATGGTTTGCTACTATACTTTTATCTGTTGGTTACTTACCTTAATTGCGATAAATTGTTGCAGATAGGTAAGACAAAGGTTTTCCTCAGGGCTGGTCAGATGGCTGATTTAGATGCTCGAAGAAGCGAGGTGTTGGGACGATCAGCAAGTATCATCCAGAGAAAGATCCGTTCTTATCTGGCCCGCAGAAGCTTTATCTTGCTCCGTCGTTCAGCAGTACATGTACAAGCTTTATGTAGAGGTATATTATCGCAGTGTATCCAGCTTTGCTTTCCAAGCATCTCTGATGAACGTTTTTTTTTATCTACAACTCAATTATATCTGCTATAACTTCACTATTTATTATACAGGACAACTTGCTCGTCATGTGTATGAGGGCATGAGGCAAGAAGCTGCATCCTTGAGAATACAAACAGCTTTGCGGATGCATCTTGCACGAAAAGCATACAGGGAAGTTTACTGTTCTGCTGTCGCCATCCAAAGTGGTATGCGTGGTATGGCTTCTCGTGATGAAATCCGCTTCAGAAGACAGACTAGAGCTGCCATATTTATTCAGGTATAGGAAGAAATTAAATAATTTGATACTACCTCCATTTCAGAATAATTGGCACTACTATTCATTATTCTTCTATTAATTTTGACCTCATATTTATGCTAATATAAAATTTTCAAATGTTATCGTTTAAAATGTTGTTAAATTAGTATTAACATATAAATTTACAATATGAAATTTTTATTGTTTTTTCATATATTCTTATGTATTAATGGTCAAATTTATTTGTTGGCATGTGTGACTGGTCAAACTGTTTATTCTAAAGTGGAGGGAGTATTAAATTTATATTTCCAGTTTAGTTGCAGTTCATTGTGAAATTCATAAGCAGATAACATAGAGATTTCTTTTTTATTACCTTCCATTTAGAACTATCTGTGATTATAGCTAAAAGATTTCTAACGTTATCCCTTTAGCTCTTTTGTAAAATTTGTAATAGTGCTGATTTAATCATTTACTTCCAGAGTCACTGTCGCAAATTCTTGGCTCGCACACGGTTCTTAAGATTGAAGAAAGCGGTCATCAGCACCCAATGTGCATGGAGATGCAAAGTTGCTCGTTCTGAATTGCGAAAACTCAAGATGGTGATTTTTTTTTTTATCTTTTTCTGTAGTATAACATTTATCATTGCTATAGTAACTGATGTATTGCTGCTTTTTCTGAATGACTACCTACTCTTGTTGTCTGCCTTGTCCCTGGAACTTTTCCCGAATTATTTGGCCTATATTGCATTTGAAAGAAAAGGAATACAGAAACTTGCTAGTACCTTCTAGAGTTTATTTTATTTTATATTATTTTACTTTATTTTATTTTTTATTTTTGGGTGGATTGGAGAAGGCATAAAACAAATGAGAGATTCACACACTTTACAGGTGTCTTAGTGTCTTACAGAATGCTTTCTGTCAAATAGAGGATTTTGTTTCAACTTTGTTGTGCCATTTGTATTTTTCTTCTGTGATTTCTTAAAGGTTTTGAAAATATAAATTACGTTTAGTACTGTTTAATCTGTTATGGTGGATTGGGTGCTAGTTGGATCCTTGGCGCCTTGTTTATTTACCAACATTTTTTCTGGCAATGCAGGCTGCACGGGAGACAGGTGCTCTTCAAGCTGCCAAAAATAAATTGGAAAAGCAGGTTGAGGAGCTTACTTGGCGCTTACAACTGGAGAAACGCATGCGAGTCAGTTTTTCTTTCCTCTACTAGCTGTGTTGTACTTTTTCTGTTCATTAAATATTGAAGTGTTCCTATTATGTAAAGGTCATAATTATTGCAAAATTTCTTTATTTGCTTATGATTTCTTTTTATCTCCTCATGATATGATCACATGGTCCTGATGTTTAATTTCTTTCTATCTCTCACATTACATAAAATCTGTGAACATGTTTCAATATTTACGTAACAAATGAAGTGTATTTCAATTTCAAAAAATTTGTGATTCAGCTCAATTGTAAGAGTAAGATTTGAATTGTGTTGGTAACACATGGATTATATTCTGATTGAGATACCGAGTACATTTATAATATGTGGAATGGGCATTTTATTTCATGTCATTAACATCCTCAAGGTTGGCAAGGGTAGAGCTGTTCAGCATGCTGAACCTGGTGTAAGGCGGGGCGGGGTGGGGCATGGTAAGGGTCATCTTCCTCAGTCTGGCCTAATTTTAATTTTGGCCCAAGAAGATGAAAATTTGTAATCAACTCCATTTTCAGCCATCAGATCTTGCCTCATTCTTTAACATCATTTTATTCCTTCATGAAACTGAGATCACATGCCTTTCTTCAACATTATTGTCAAACTTCATTGATTGAGGATAGTCATCATGTGTCTATCTTCTCTTCAGTAAGATAATCAAATTCAAATACCTCTCTTCTGACATTGTTTTTGGCCAGTTGCCTTCATCTTCATTCTCAGCCATCTGATCTTTAGATCTTGATGCTATAACTACTATAGATTGTGACGGTGAGAATGAGCTAGAAGAGAGAATAGGTGTAGCCCGTAGAGGAGAAACTCTTGGTTACAGCTTAAAGGAGAGAGCTAGGAGGGCAGTGAAAAGCCCACTCCATCTAGCCCTGTTTAGGGCTCCCTAAAATAAAAAGATACCGGGTCTGACCCTGTAATAATGGGGCAGGTTAGGGCCTTTACTGGGTCTTTACCCATTGTATAGGTATAGGCAAAAGGTTGCATATTGTTAGGTAAAAAGAGGATTGTGTTTATTAAAAAAGTTTGAGCAACACTAATGGGGAAGATGTTGTAACTTGTAATTTTTACTCTCTCTTCATATCTGCATAGTATTGATGGTGAACTTTGAGAAGTGACCAGATGCTTAAATCAACTTAGTAATTATTACAGTATAATTTTAGAAAATTTACATGTTTCATGAGGGAAAAATGTTTTTGCAGTTGAAGCTCAATATCCTTTAGGAAGCTATAGAAGCAGGATTGATCATGAAAGAGATTTGGCTGTTAGCATTAGATTCCTCTTCTTCTTCTTCTTCTTCTTCCTCCTCTTCCTCTTCCTCTTCCTCCTCCTCCTCCTCCTCCTCCTCCTCCTCCTAGGAGGTCACCTATCCTAGTACTACTCTCAATCATTGTGGCTCAAGTCAAGCGATGTGACAAAATTTTACATTGGCTGTCACTGGCGTACTGTAACCCTCCTCCTTTATCCAGGCTTGGGACTGGCAGCGGGAAACCTACTGGCAGAGTTAAAGTTGTAAGAGTATGGTAGATACTAATGGGAGATATGAAATGTTCTTTGTGATTAATACTGATCTGAAGCAAACTTCTCTTTGGTGCTCACTAAGATAAGGGGCATAGAAATGTTTCATGCTTGAACAAAAGTAATATGTTTCACTCATTAGAAGACTTGATCAAACATCACACTGTTACAGACATGTGACATGAGCCCATGGTGTCCTTGCATTACTTAAGAGTGAGCAGGCCTCATATGTAGAAAGCCTTCTCTTGTAAACTATAAATGTATCATGCTATCCCTTTTTTTAGAATCCTCGTTTGTAACTGCTTGCTGGTAGCAGAAAGATGGAGGGATACAATTCCCTAATTATGTAGGATGACGTTGGAAAATTATTTCACTTCATCTGCTGACTATTCGAAAGGGATAGATAATATTTGGGCTATTGCTGAAGAATAAATAAATATTGCGATTATATGCCTTCATCTTACAAAGTGTAGAAGAAATTTATCCTGTTGTATCAGGCAGGCTTAAGAGCTTTCTCCTTCTGCATGCATCATCATTACTCCATTTTCCTTTCTCATTGAGTGCATTATAGTATTATCAGTAGTAATTATACTAAATATCCTATCAAATTTAGCAACTTTGGGTTGTATCTGTTAGGTGTTTTTCTGTGAAGGATTATTACATATGAATTGCTTTGTGGTTTACTTGCTAAAAAAATTACAAGACTAATATGATGATTATCATATTTTTCTGCTTTGAAAACTTATTATGTGGTCACTGCAGTTTTTCCTGTTCTTTTTCTTGAGTCGGGATTCTTTGCTTGCAGTCTGATCTGGAAGAGGCAAAAACACAAGAGAATGCAAAACTAAAGACCGCGTTGCAGGAGATGGAGCTTCATTTTAAAGAAACTAAGGAGTTGCTCGCAAAGGAGTGTGAGGTTGCTAAGAAAGTAATTGAACATGTACCTGTTGTACAGGAGGTGCCAGTTGTTGACAGTGTTATTGTGGAGAAGCTTACTGCTGAAAATGAGAATCTAAAGGTTAATTGGTCATGTTATGGTTTTTTTGTTTTCTATTACTTTCTTGGGTTATTATTTTCTTGTAGTCTTGTCTGAATCCCTTTATGATATAGTCTACTGTATCCTTAATTCAGTACAATCTTGTTATTGGCAGGCCTTAGTTAGTTCGCTGGAGCTGAAAATTGATGAAACAGAGAAGAAATTTGTAGAAACTAGTAAACTCAGCGAAGAACGACTGAAACAGGCACTTGATGCAGAATCAAGAATGATAAAGCTGAAGACAGACATGCAAAGGTTATTCGAGTGCTAATTTTTTTCATGTTTCATTTCACCTATAACTTTTTCATACTGGATACTCATACTACTACGTGGTTTGAATATGCTTATGGAGTGGTAGTCCTTTTCTACAGACTTGAAGAGAAAATTTTTGACATGGAATCTGAAAATAAGGTCCTTCGACAACAATCATTGTTATCTGCACCTGTAAACTTAAGTTCAGGAAGTACTCCAATAGCTGTGACTCCGGTACTTTCACTTTCTCCTATTCATCGGTGTGTCTGTACAATCTTACTTCTCAATTTGTCTCAAAATCATTTTGTTTGTTTTGCTGTAGAAATTGCCAAATGGTCACATAGTCAATGAAGATTCCAGAGTCAATGTAAGGCCTAATTTGGCTTGTTGTTTTTTCCAGATTCTTACTGTATATGTTTTTCTATGTCATGTCAACTGCACACTCTAAATTCGGTGCTTTATTATTTGTGTAGGAACCACAAAGTGTAACTCCTGTCAAAAAATTAGATTTTGAATCTGAACAGAAGTTTGGACGATCTCAGCTTGAGCGTCAACAAGTATGATATTGAAAATATTGGCTGCTTAGAAATGGTCATTCGTGTGGACATTCTAATTCAGAGAATGTATCTTTGTTGCAGGAGAATGTTGATGCTCTAATACATTGTGTGACAAAAAATATTGGCTTCAATCAAGGAAAGCCTGTGGCTGCATTTACAATTTACAAGTGTCTCCTCCATTGGAAATCATTTGAAGCAGAGAGGACTAGTGTGTTTGACCGCCTTATTCAGATGTTTGGTTCTGCCATTGAGGTAATTAAGTTATGTTATATTTGATCTATGCTCAAACGTGTAAATGCCTTCAAAAGTCGTTATTTAGCTGCAGAGTATTAAGGTTGTGATCTTGTGAGGCTGTTATTTCCTTTCAGTTGCAATTTGAATTTCTGTTGTCAATAGTAAAGTTTATCTGCAATTATGTTTTGAAAACCCTACTGCTTTTGTGTACAATGTTCTTTGTATGCTTTCTGGTAATTGTCACAACTGATAGCATAACTTCCCCACTCCCCCCTTTGTTCTTCGCATGTGTTTTAATTTTGCTCTGAGATTAGTGGAGAAGCTGAGAAATAGCTCTGCTACTGCTAATTTTATTGATTCGGTATTTTTGTATTCGCATTATGCATTTATTGTAGTCCTTTTATTGAGATTGGCTTAGGTGGAAAAAATAAAGATAAAAATAAAAATTGAAGGACCTTTTGTAATATTTTATAGTAAAATGTAAATCTAATACTTCCTCCATTTCTATTTAGATGACTAACATTCCTAAAAAGAAATTGTCACAATACTTGATCTATACTATAAATGGAAAGGTTTTTTTTTTTTCTTAATAATCACCCACAATTAACCAACCTCATTCCCACCTAATTAACTACTCTCTATATAATCAGCCCAACCCAAAACACCATCCCCATAACCCAACACTAGCCATCCTACCATGCCGCTGCCACTTCATCCCAACAAAACCACCACGCCAATCCTCAAAACCACCACCCTTATAAAACCACCACTCCGATCTACCGAACCACCACCAAGCCAACCTTATCTAAAAAACCACCACCAAAAGCACAACCCCGATCTAACGAGCCACCACCGAACCACCCTTTGCTTCCTCGCCGAACGACCACCCCAGCCACCAGACCACCAGGTCCACTATCACAACCACCTTCACCCTCAACGAACTTTATTTTCTCTCTCCTTCACCACTTTCCCTCCTCAACCACTAGATCCATAACCCGCCCACCAACACTTTCAGGTCACACCTCCAATAGTTGCCTCCACAATCGTCATCTTTGTTGTTTTGGGGTAAAACAGGTAGAGGTAAAAAGAGAGAGAGAAAAAAATTCAGATCTGAAAGATTGCATATGCTTGGTGTTGGTTTGATTTCTTAATCTTCTTTCTCCTCTTCTCAAAAATTCAAGCCCATTTTTATGAGGGTTAGATAGGGGTGGTCCGTGGTTAAGTGTGGTGGTAGTGGTCAGATTTGGTGGTGGTTTAGATGGGGGTGGCAGCGGCGGCAGTCTAGATGAGGGCGACAACGGCGGGGGATGAGGGTGGCAGCATCGGTGGTGCTGGTTTGGATGTGTAGGTGGTTTGCGAAGTTTAAGGTGATGGCAAAGTGCCAAGGTGGTGTCGGTGGTGGGTTTGCCGACTGCTGCAATGAAATGATGTTTGATGCTACTTTGATTAATTTATTTAAGTATTTAATTAATATGCTTTACAAATAACTAGGATTAAGATGTAACTAATATACATTCTCTCTCCTCTCCTTAAAAACTGTGCCAAGAGCTATAGGTCATCTAAATAGAAACGGAGGAAGTACGAAGTAAACGGTAATGACAATTAGTGATGAACCATCTAATAGATACTTGGAATAGTTCCCAGCAGTAGGAACGATACTAGGCTATTTTAAAAGTTTAAAACTATGAGTCCTCTTTCTTATGATTATTCTTACAATTTTTTTAAAATAATTGCCTCTTACTCCTTTTAAAAGTTGCACCAGTAAATTTGGCCCCCTTATCAGTATTTTGCTATTTTGTAGAATCAAGATGATAATAATGAGCATCTGGCTTACTGGCTATCAAATACATCGGCTTTGTTATTCCTTTTGCAACGGAGCCTCAAAGCATCTGGGGGTGCAGCGCAGCGCAAACCTCCGGTCCCTACATCTCTCTTTGGGAGAATGACTATGGTACCTGGTTCTGATAACTAGTGATCCGAGCCTTTGTTTTGAAGTGAATATTATCCTTGTTAACCTATATGGAAATTTTTTCAGGGTTTCCGCTCCTCTCCTTCCTCCTCTACTCTTGCTGCAGCTGCAGCTCTTGATACTGTACGCCAAGTGGAAGCCAAATATCCGGCTTTGCTTTTCAAGCAGCAGCTTACTGCGTATGTGGAGAAAATTTATGGCATTATTCGTGACAACTTGAAGAGGGAGCTGTCATCATTACTTTCCTTGTGTATCCAGGTATTCTTGAAAAACTTCTTTTAGTTCTTCCATATTATTCATCTATGTAAGGGATCAAATGTGCCTAGGAAAAGGCCTTTATGAACAACACTTATTATACGGGAAAAAGATTGCGTACTTTCACACTCTACCTCAAGTACAGTAGCAGTTCGTGACATTTATCTTATGTAGTCCTTTTTCTTTTTCTTTTCTTTTTTTATATGGCTATAATAAATTATGACTTTTGATTGCTAGAAATCCATGCAGTGCATAAATCAAGCCAATTTTATCAAGTTGTGTTAAATAGTAAAATCTATAATCCAAATGAAGGCTATGACGATCCCACCTAAAGCTAAGGTGAAGGGTTTTGGTTGGTTCTAGTGAACACTGTCTTACTCATGGAGCATCAAATCTTTTATATCTAGAGCCCCTGGATTTTGAACAAGCAAGCTATCTAGGTGGTACTGATTTTTTCTAGCAGTTGCAATCAATGAACTAATGAAGTCTATTAAGTTATAATTATTTCCACGACAAGATTTTGAGTTGTCACACCATTGCTAAATTGTACAAGTTTTCCTCTTCGCGATGCGGAATTATAATGTTAAGTCGTACGAGCATGAATTATCCTTCATATACATGCCTTTATGTATGCGCTTTGTAATGTATGCGCTTTTATGATAGTGTTGTGCCTTTTATGATAGCTTCCCTTCTTGATGTTTATACATCTAATCTTTCGTTATTTGTTTATTATTTATTTATAAATCCTTAGTCTGGGATTGAATTTTGTCACAAATATGCACTGCCCTTTTTCAGGCGCCAAGAACATCCAAGGGAGGTTCCTTAAGGTCAGGCCGATCATTTAGTAAAGAGTCTGCCACAAGTCACTGGCAGGGTATTATTGACAGTCTTAACTCACTTCTCAAAATGCTGAAAGAAAATTATGTAAGCAGATCTCTCTTCTTTTGCTGTTTTCTATACTCTCATCATACACTTGCTATCTTAATCAGAATATGTCGTATATTGTTGGGTGGCTTTGTCTTCATTTTCTTGGAAATGAATGTTCATGCAGGTGCCTCCAGTTCTCTGTCAGAAAATCTTCACACAGATATTCTCATATATCAATGTACAACTCTTCAACAGGTAAGTCCTGTTTTTGCACTTTCCTGGAAATGAGATTTTCTGCAACATGTGTTTAACAAGCTTGTCTGTAATGTTCAGTCTGTTACTGCGTCGTGAGTGCTGTACTTTTAGTAATGGAGAATATGTGAAATCTGGGTTAGCTGAGTTAGAACTCTGGTGTGCCCAAGCAAAAGAAGAGGTAGCCTTCTTATCTTTCGCCAATTGTTTTTAAAATTATCAGCAGCCATTGTCATGGTTCTTCATGTATTTGCTCGCTAGTTTAATTACATGAAAAATTTGAGATATAATATTAGAATACTATTACTTTCACAGTATGCAGGTTCATCCTGGGATGAACTCAAGCACATAAGACAAGCTGTCGGGTTCCTGGTATGTTCATTTTTTTTATACCTGTAGTTGACAATATGTTTAAGGATGTAACTTTTAGTCTTATCACTTCCAACCTTTTCCTGCAATAGTAAATTGATTAATTGCTTTCCATCTCTGAAATCCTAGTACCTTGATGAACATATCTTCATCTCCGAAAGAACAGAATATAATACATAAAATTTATTTTTAATTCTTTGAGTCTGCAATATGCCCTATCATTCTCTATTTCTGTTTTTGTTACTATTTGATTGGTGAAGCTTGAGTCTCGTACTTATGCAAGGCTGTGCTATTTTAATCACAGGTTATACATCAAAAGTACAGAATATCTTATGACGAAATTACTAACGATCTCTGCCCTGTAAGTCTCTTCATCTTTGTTCTAATCTAAATATATCCAGATGAGTCTAATGTTCAGGAGCGCTGGATATTTGATGGGTCACTTTGTTACTCCAGTAATAGAGATCAAATTCTCTGGCCAGATATATAGATTTTTGATAAAGCTTGGAATCTTTGCTATTCATCATTCCGTAGAAACATTCTACATTGTTGATCTACAGGAACTGATAGCCTTTTGTTTTAGGAGTTTTAATGATTTCCTGTAGATTTTGGAAATGGGATCATGGACTTATTCTTTCAGAATATATAAAAGAAAGGGAAAAGATAAATATGTTGAATGCACAGATTTGTTCAGTGCTAATACGTGGTTATGTTTCAGGTATTGAGTGTCCAGCAACTGTACAGAATATGTACCTTGTATTGGGATGACAACTATAATACTCGAAGTGTATCTCCTGATGTAAGTCTTCTCTCTTTGTGGTACTCATATCACCATCCTATGTTTCTTGGACTAGCGTGCTCATGTGGAAATGAGTATGAGTCAAATTAAAGTGCAAGTGTCCATACCCATTTTAGAGGGTTTGAGTATCATAGCTGCCAAATTTTACAGTAGTTGATTGATCACTTAGGTGCTCATCAAATTTGTGTACCGTTCCCCCTTTCCTGCAGGTTATTGGAAGCATGAGAGTCCTAATGACTGAGGACTCCAACAGTGCCAATAGCAATTCCTTTTTGTTAGATGATAGTTCCAGGTAAAGTATTTAGCAAAATAAGTTACTTTTATGACATTATATGCTTGCTTCTATCAATTATTTCACTAAAATGACTGAATCATGAAAATTATGTACGATTTTTGGATGCAGCATTCCATTCTCAGTTGATGACATTTCCGGTTCAATGCATTCAAAAGACTTTGTTGATGTAAGACCAGCTGAGGAGCTTCTTGAGAACCTCGAGTTCCAGTTTTTACATGAATGAGTTACAGAAACTCATGACTCGAGAACATTCCTTTTTTCCATCCCTCTTGGCGCCTAAGGTGACGGTGCAATTATTTTATTTATTTGTTTGAAGTCTCCTCACGCGTGGTGTTAGATTTAGTTTATTCTTTCACACCCATCATATATATGTAAATTTCTCATATAGTGTAGGAAGGGTTGAAACTTGAAGTTATAAATTTTCTCCTTTTTTTTTGTATTGCCAATATTGGCTTATTTTTCATACATATTTTTTTTTACAAGTTTCTTCAATTCATTTCTTCGCCTCCCAATATTTATTAGTACCGGGGGCAAGGTTGTTTTGTTATTTTGCTCATGTTAATTAGGGTGAGAGGTTGTTGAAGAGTGTAGTCTCTAAATTTTCTTTTTTGTACAAAGAAACAATGCTTATATCGAAAATATGCAATTGTAATGACAATTAATCAGCTATGGAATATGTATTTTATTATTTTTGTTGCGTACTCCTATTGAAAAGGATTTGTTGGCCTTGTATTTCTGCAGAAAACATCTTACTCGTGCAGCCGTGCATGGTCATTGACTACCACTCAAGCATGCATGAATGCATGATCTAATGCATGTCTTATATTTTATTTGTTCTTCGTCAAGGAGGTTTCAATCTGTTAAATTGTGTAGTAATGTCTTTTTCGAGTTGGAACACAAGTGAATTTCTTGGACGCTTCTAAGTAACCTGTTAAATCGTCTACACTGTAACTTTTTAAACTAAAAAAATTATCGTGACACTTGTGATGAACACCATATAAGACGGAAAGAACATCAATACACTTCGTATACTATGGTTGAACATTACCATCTAAACAAAGTTTAATCAAACACATTCCAAGTTATTAGGAAATATGATAAAAGGATCAAAAACACATTCCAAATCTTATGAAATAAATACACTTAAACAATTAAGTGATTGTAGGATCTTTGAGGAAATTGAGTCATTGACTTTGTAGTCTTGTGGACAGCAAACACTTAGTATGAGACATGATGAAAAGCGTTTATTTGATCAAGTAATATAATCTCTTGCTTTTGTCCAAAAAAAAAAAGATTGAGACATGTACCCTTGAACCCTTGATATTAATCAAACGCCAATTATGTATTTTTTATTTATTTATTTTTTTTTTGTAATTTTTCAATTTAAAAATCTTTTATTTATTTTTATAAAATTAATATTGCCCCAAATTGACTTGAGTGGCCATGAGGACTTCACATGGAGTTGGGGGCCCAAAAGAAAATCTCTAATATTGGACCACCCTATAGTCCTTGATTTTGCTCATGTTATTATTTCAACGCATTTACTAGTATATTCGGCTATAAAAATAAAAATATAATGCTATTCATTTTACATGTACATTTATAGTTGTGATTTTGAGTTTTTGACCCTACATATCCATTTATCCGATTTTAGAATGGATTTGCTAAATTTGTTAAAATTGGTCAAAATTTTGGATTGCCGCTTCTTTATAGATTTGCTTCCACATATTTCGTGGATGAGTGATCATCTTAGTAATAATGGTATTCTCAACGAAGCTTGGAGTTATGTTTAGCCAAAACACATATGGATAGGGTATTTTTTGCGCCTTTTTTGACATCAAGAGATGTATATGAGTATGTGTTCAAGTACGAGTAATTTTGAGCAATATAATCAATATATAAGCATCTAACTTCTATTTCATAAACGATAGGAATGGTATCCAAGATTTGTGATTTAATTTCATTGATATCATTGAAAAATAATCTCATTTGCTCAACATATGAAAACTACAATTATATTTATTGATTATCATATTTTACAAGAAAGAAAAATGGAGGAGAAGAAATTGAAAAATACCAAGGGCCTACTAAATTTACCTTATAACAACACATTCAGTAAAAATAATTTAATTTCAATAAAATTTTAGTTTAACAATTTAAGTTCAGTAAATATAAGTTTTAGTCATTAAAAATAATATAATTTCAAAGAACAAACTAAATAATGAATTAGTAAAAATAAGTTTTAATGTAAAAATAATATAAATTCAATAATATCTTGTGAAGAGAAAACCTAAAAGTAAAACGTGTTTTGTGTGCGGCTCACGACACCATATAGCCGCTTATAAGAGAACAAAGTTACCCCTCTAACACTGACTGAGTAAACCTTATAACACTGATAAAGTAACCCCTATAACAGTAATTGAGTAACCCCTATAACACTAACGTCTCATGATGACTAACCACACCATGTGACCAGCCACTTATAAGAATTTGTAAAAGTAGAATTTCAAACTCAATATTAGGTCAAGAAAGAAAGAATTCTTCTAGCTGATAAAATCAAAGATAAATATTCTTACATGTGCTTTAAATAAAGTAATATTATTGAAGGAATGGGATGTAGGACAAGGTGGATTTGTGGTTATTGCTGTGTTTGACAACAGCTAGGTAAGGTGTAAGGGCCAAGGGGTTTTAGCTTTGAATGTAAATAATTAAGTTTGCCTATGTTTTAGGGGAGTCTTCTATTTGTCCTCCTTTGATCAGCACTTGCTACTATCTCTTTAATTTGGCCATAATATTATATTAATGAAACTAACTAACATGAAAAGGACATCATTAATGTACTTGTTAATATAAATAAATACCTTAATTAATGATCGATCTATCTAGCTAGATATAAATATCATATAATATAGTTACTTACTCCATATATGAAATTTAAATGTTCGAAAAAATTGTCACATGCTACTAAATTTAATACTCATAGATTAGTATGTAATAGTTTTTGATTAGTTATATCAATACACCTTTACTAAGATTAAGTGATGGAAAATTAAGTCTAGAAATTGTTCAACTATTATTATATCAAGGGATGTGAGTGATATTTATTTTAGAGCAGCACCACTTTTGACTAATTGTTTGAACATCATCTTATTGGTGTGCAGCGTATATCATAAATGACATCAAAAACCTCAGTTCTTTGCCAGAGATGAAAATTCTCAGATTTAACTTTTAGCCACAATTCTTGGAAATACTCGAATTTTACCTAGTTATAAAAACTCCAATAAAGGTTATGTATTTGATAAAAAAAATTGATTCATAAATTAAAAGTCATGCGACATCTACAAAAAGATTTAATTTATGTCTAATAAGTTCACATAAATTCAGTTTAAGAAAAATAAGTTTTTATAAAGTGTAATAAGTTCAGATTAGTGAAATTCAGGTGAATAGAACACACCATAAATCAAATAAAAACACTCTTTCACCAAAGCTACGATCATTAAATTACCTTTCTATGGAATACCTTATTAATATCTCCGATAACTATCTAAAATCACTTTTCTCCATAACTGATCATATGATTCATATCCCATACATTAGCACGTATAAACCAAACCAAAGTCGTCGTTGTCATGCAGCCGGGAGTACTTAAATTCTAAAGAGGGACTGATGAAGGGAAACTACGAGTCTACGAGTCTCTTTCAATTAAGTAGCTCATTAAAAATTTTGGTCTATCATATCATAAATTTTTCTTGCTACAAAATAAAAATAAAATATGGTGTTATTTGCCAGCTCAATGATGACATGGAAATTAATGTAAATAGTCCAACTCAATCGTTTTCTGATGCATATATTCCGGCATATGACAAACGAACTGTATCGGTCTAGTCCCTCACCTTATCATTAAATTCCCATGTATGTTAAAGGTGAACTGCTAAAGTTGTGGAGATCTTTTTCATAAATATTTGTTCCTTTTCACTAAACCAATTATTGAGATATTTAATCTCTTCAATTTTAAGTGTTTTAAGAAAATTAGGACTACAAATTATTTACAAGAGGTAAGGTGTGGTTGAGTTTGATACACTCGCTTGATTTTGAATAGGGACCGAAATTTTAAGCCCTGTTTAAGTTCATTTTAGAGGGCGAAAAAATAACTTTGCTTGGTTCCGATCAAAGAGGGTGAATGTCATCCTTAATCTCATTCAAAGGAGAGTGAAAAGATCTCAGTTGCCCTCCGAAAATAATATAAGGACACTACTGGGCAACTTGAGGGAGATTAAAAGTTGCCCCCTTTGCTTAATAGGCGAGATTTGGTGCTAGGAGGGCTATAAAAATTGCCCTCTTTGATCTTATTTCTTGTAGTGTCTATTGTGATTAATAAAGAGAGTAAAGTGTTAAATTTCATGAATGTACTCTTTGTTTTTGGAGACTAGCTTGTAAGCCATAATAATAAAGAGAGATAGGAGAGAAATTGGAGAGAGAATAATAAACCCTAGATCTAGAATATTCCAAAATGATAAAAGGAGAATAATGGATATCCACACAATATTTCATAACAGACTACAAATTATTTACAAGGGGTAAGGTGTGGTTGAGTTTGATACACTCAAATTATGTTTCCAATCAAAGAGGGCGAAAAAATAACTTTGCTTGATTCCAATCAAAGAGGGCGAATGTCATCCTTAATCTCATTCAAAGGAGAGTGAAAAGATCTCAGTTGCCCTCCGAAAATAATATAAGGACACTACTGGGCAACTTGAGGGAGATTTAAAAGTTGCCCCCTTTGCTTAATAGGCGAGATTTGGTGCTAGGAGGGCTATAAAAATTGCCCTCTTTGATCTTATTTCTTGTAGTGTCTATTGTGATTAATAAAGAGAGTAAAGTGTTAAATTTCATGAATGTACTCTTTGTTTTTGGAGACTAGCTTGTAAGCCATAATAATAAAGAGAGATAGGAGAGAAATTGGAGAGAGAATAATAAACCCTAGATCTAGAATATTCCAAAATGATAAAAGGAGAATAATGGATATCCACACAATATTTCATAACAGACTACAAATTATTTACAAGGGGTAAGGTGTGGTTGAGTTTGATACACTCAAATTATGTTTCCAATCAAAGAGGGCGAAAAAATAACTTTGCTTGATTCCAATCAAAGAGGGCGAATGTCATCCTTAATCTCATTCAAAGGAGAGTGAAAAGATCTCAGTTGCCCTCCGAAAATAATATAAGGACACTACTGGGCAACTTGAGGGAGATTTAAAAGTTGCCCCCTTTGCTTAATAGGCGAGATTTGGTGCTAGGAGGGCTATAAAAATTGCCCTCTTTGATCTTATTTCTTGTAGTGTCTATTGTGATTAATAAAGAGAGTAAAGTGTTAAATTTCATGAATGTACTCTTTGTTTTTGGAGACTAGCTTGTAAGCCATAATAATAAAGAGAGATAGGAGAGAAATTGGAGAGAGAATAATAAACCCTAGATCTAGAATATTCCAAAATGATAAAAGGAGAATAATGGATATCCACACAATATTTCATAACAGACTACAAATTATTTACAAGGGGTAAGGTGTGGTTGAGTTTGATACACTCAAATTATGTTTCCAATCAAAGAGGGCGAAAAAATAACTTTGCTTGATTCCAATCAAAGAGGGCGAATGTCATCCTTAATCTCATTCAAAGGAGAGTGAAAA